GGGTGGGGGGGGGGGGGGGGGGGGGGGACGGGTGTCTAGATCCGGTTCATATGATGGTCCGTATGAAATGCAATATCTATCCACAGACGGTGCTTCTAACCCCGTGGCAAGGCTGCTTGGGCGGCTGGGTGCTGTGCGGATTTTTGGCTTTCAAAGCCTGTGTCTTTGCACACATCATACTTGGGCACGTTGTCGGGGCATCATTAGATGACGAGCTCATCTGGCATTTTGCTTTGCAATCCCCGACCGCTCTGCTTGGTAAGTCACCGGTAATGGTGTGTAGTCCGAGGATTGACGTTTCGCCCGAGGCACGGATACCCAGGAACTCCCGTAAAGAGGTGGCCGCATTTCTTTAATCAGCGGCCGACGTGGAGGCAATAAATGGCCGACACTTCGGGGATTAATGATGCATAATCGTTTGCAATGGGCGTCTATCGTAGCAGCCGAATAACGAGCACGTGTACGGAGGATACCTAGATGTGTGCAAACGAACATTGAAGATGACTGACCCCCTGCGTTGTTGAATGCGGGACGTCTGGTCGGAACACTGCTAGGCTGCTGGGCCGGTACTTAGGTATCTACCTAGTAACTAGTGAACTGTCGAGCTTGGTTGCTTTGGAACCTTGGAAGGCACGATCGATGAGGAGACATCTGGGCCAGTCGGCATCAGCAGACGCTCTGAGGTGGCTGCAGTGAACCGTAAGCCCAACGTGATCACGTTCCTCGGGTCAGCTTCGCCCAAGTCTCCCAGACCAGAGGGTGCGACAAAAACGCAAGGTTTTGTACGGAATAGCCATGCTTCGTTTCTGCTCCCGTGTAACGGAGCACGACGACGACGTGGCGTAGCCAAGACATTGGATCAACGACGGATCGTCAGGCGGTTGGGCAGCAGCTGCATCCACGCTGCATCCCACGCAGGGCGGTTCTCATATGCATCTATGCCATCCCTTTTCCCAACGTCCTTCTAGCCAGCATACAGGCCTTGCCCGATATATTGCGTCAGTCTTTGCCGTCGTGTACCATTATTCCAAACTGAACAAATGAAGTTTGCTGACTCGGGCTCGGAAAACAGGTTGGAAGGGGAGCATGGAATGGTCAACGCGAGGCAGCCAGCCCACCATGTGTTCTCACCGCGCCGTAGTTCACTTTCAGCATCGCCACCATTCGTCAGCGTCGAACAAAGTCAACAATCAGGGCCCTGAAAACCTTTCACGGGCTGGTCGGTTCAGCCCCATGGCACCGATTTCTCCTGGTCGAAGCCGCCCATTGAGAGACGGGACGCCCCGCGATTCGCTAGTTCAGAGCCTGGCAATGGCCAGTCAAGCTGAGAATAGAGGCCTCCCCAAACCCAAAATGGAACCAACGGTGGTGAAGGCCGGCGGAGAATCACCGAGTATATCGGCTGGGTACGGAAAGTCGAAGCCATGGACCCGAGCTGGTAAGTTACTTTGTACTGATTCAAGGCCCCATCTTGGATGGGCCGGCAGCCTTGACCAATGTGATAGGATATAACCCTCACCACTTGTCACGTCTTGAGTTGCAGCAGCATGTGGGAGTGGGCGCTTCCCTCGTCTCATGCAACAGCGCCTGACGAGAAGAACCAGCTGGGAGCCAATAGCATGACTGTGGTAGAGGCTATTGTGAGGGCCCAGGTACGGGACAAGCGCATCAGTATCAGTCGATCCACTCGAGCAGCTTTGACATGTCTTTGTTAGATTCGCAGCCTGTATTAAAACCCCAGTCCATCCTGAGAGTGAAGTCGAGGGCCTCAATCCAACACTTCCTTTCGCAAATAAAACACACCAACATTGTCAAGCTGTCCGGCGTCGGTTCCTGTGCCACGGTGGAGAGCAGTGGGTTCGCACTCCAATTTACTTCCCAGGGTCGACTCCGTGGGCGATCTTCACCGACACTATCGAGGTGGGGTCAAGACGGCCAAGACTCAAGAGTCAAGACGATGACCAGCCTCTTCTACCGCCATTCTTGAACCCTTGAACTGTACTTCTATAAGACTACGCCGTGCGGTATTTTGACAAGGCAAGAAAGACGAAGCGGTGGGCAATAACACCCTTACAACAATATGCCTCTCGAGCAAACCATCACGATTGTCAACAACTCTGGCAAGATCATAAGCACTGTAGGTCACCAATGCAACCGAAGCATATTTCGTGAAGCATATCGCACTGCACATGTGGAATGCACACATGCCCCTTTGTGAGGCAGCTTTCATCTAACTCGACACAGGGAAAGCAATTATTTTCCATCTTCAAGGAAGCAAAAGCATCTTACGATGAGAAAAAAGCAGAGATTAGAGGATTGAAGCGAGCTGAAACCTTCGATCAGTCTCAAATCCCATACCGCCATGATGACTACTCAAGACCACGAGGACATGGGAGTCATAGCGGCCGTAGTGTGTATGAGCCAGAGTACTACACAGAATATGACTACGGCAAGAACCCCGGATCTTACGATGGTCGACGACAATCGTTCGACGTCTATAGTGAGACAAGCTCCCGAAGGAGCCATCACACATCCCGATCGCACTCGAAGCACTATTACCACAGCACAAGAAATCGGCCAGCTCTGACCGAGAACAATCTGAAGACGCTGAGCGAGATCTCCAGCACTACACCTAGCAGACCGCCCATGACTTATCGCAGTCCTTATGCCGAGACACTTCCTAAAGATATGGCGGTGTCAAGAATGAACCTTACCCAATATGATATGAAGAGTGTTGTCGAAGATGATTGGAGACAGTCTGCTCTCCTCCGGCGAGCGTCTGAATCACAAATCTCCAGAAGGGACGAACCCAAAGACAAGGAGATCGACATGAATCTGGCGTACGGAAACATCCCTCCGGACTTGGAGTATAGGGTCGACTTGGATCCTTCATCACAGAGCGACGAGAATAAGGCCAATCAGCTTGTTCGCAAGGTTGAGGGTCTTTTGGATGAAGCACATTGTTTGCAGCACTCTGCAACATCCATCATCAAGCATCTTCAGCAGAAGCCCGATTCAGCCGCAGCAGTCGCTCTCACTCTGGCTGAGTTGTCCTCGGTAGTGGGGAAAATGTCTCCTGCGTTTCTTGGCTTCCTTAAAGGCGGCTCTCCCACCGTATTTGCCCTGCTTGCGTCACCTCAGTTCCTCATTGGCACTGGCATTGCTGTCGGTCTAACTGTCGTCATGTTCGGTGGATGGAAGATTGTCCAGAGAGTGAAGGAATCCCAAGTCCCTCGGGAGGCCATAGCATATGAGAGCGCCCCGATGGATCGACCTGCGCCGCTACGTACACAGAGTGATTACAATGCCAGCTTTGATGAGGCGCTAATCGTTGATGAGGAGTTGAGTACCATTGAGACCTGGAGGCGGGGCATCATGCCGTTTGGCGCCGACAACGAAAGCGCCGATATCGAGCTCATCACCCCCGAGGCAGAGCGTGCGCAGAGAGAAAAACATAAAGATGATTTTGATTTTCGCTCATTCAGAAGCGCTCACACAGCGCGAAGCACCAAAACCGCAAGAACTACAAAGACCACAAAGACTTCAAAGACGGCCAAGTCATCAAAGACGACTAAATCACAGAAGACATCAAGTAAAGACAAAGAGAGAGAAGTTCCGGAGCGTCGAAGCAGCAAGAATGCCACTGTTGAGAGCATCAATGGTGATTCTGAATTGGGCAGGCACAGGTCCAGCAAGAAGGAGAAAGAAAGAGATCGTCCAAGGGAAAGGGGAGTCAGAATGATCGAGGATGGGCGAAGCAACAACATGGACCTTGTATTTCGGCCAAAGGCACAGAGACAGGGCGACAATATGCTGAAGGCTCTATTTAAGAACAAGGATAAACATGAGAGCAGAGCTGAGTATGTGCTAGCTTAAGCGTGGGCATGGCTAATCCGAGTGTAGAAACTCGGAGGGGGCGGCGTTCCGGTATTGTTCAATTCACCATGAAAGAATTTTATGAAGGACGTTGGAATCGACTGTAATGGATCATTAGATGGAAGAGAATTGGCGTTGGGAAGGCGTTTATTCTTCAGTTTGTAACATCCAATATAATGCAACAGTGCTCTCATTTATACATTTCTAAATCTAGAATGAGTATCAAAGCTCTAATGACATGCCATGATGACCGTTTATTGGGTCAACTTGAACGACGTGCGTCTTTTCCATGCCTTGGCCGCGAAACGAATAGGTAAAATGCCAACCACTCGCCGCCCCGGCGTGCTCGCCCTTGTTGTTCATGACAACCACGCCGGTCTGGATGTTGGGGAATCTCTTGACCATTCGTCTCACGGCGTCCTCGGCAGCTGCGGCCGGCGACATGCCTTGTCTCATGCTCTCCACAGCCTGGTAGCACGGCAAAAACCGCATCATGAGATCCCCATCACCGGTAGCGCCACACCCCCCAACCTGGCTGTCGACGTATGAGCCACTGCCTGTGATGGGACCGTCGCCGACCCTTCCCGGGATCTTGTATGCCTTTCCGTTTGTAGTGGTCCCCGCGGCCATGCTGCCGTCCTTGCCCAGAGCAACAAGTGAAATTGTATCATGGCCTCGTCCCCTGATATCCGCCCCGTCTTCCCTTGGCGTCGTCGTCCCTGAAGCGCCATTCCTCAATGGCGTATAGGGACCACACGAACTCCTGGGATCAGGAACCACGCCGATCCACGAATTGGGCTGGCATTGGTTCCGCTTCCACTGGTCGCACATGTCGCGGGACCGGTCTGTGGCCAGGTCCTCCTCCTCGAAGCCGTTCTGGGCGGCGAAGCGGGTGGCAGAGTCCCCGACAAGCATCGTGTGGCCTGTGTATTCGAGGACGTGCCTCGCGACGGCAATGGCGTCCTTGACGCGACGCAGGGCCCCTACGGCGCCGACGTTGAGGGTGTTGCCGTCCATGATCATGGCGTCGAGGGTGGTCTCGCAGTTCTCCGAGGGCGAGCCGCCGTAGCCTACTGTGCCGTCGCATTGGTTGTTTTCGCAGGCTGCGCCGCCGATTTGGACGGCGTCTAGGACGGACTGGGAGTTGATGAGGGCGTGGTGAGCGGCGTCGGCGGCGACGGTGAAGGGGCCGCCCCAGGTGTGCACGACGACTGGGGGCGTGGTGCCTGTTGCGAGGGGGGACAAGAGGAGGAGGAGGGGGAGAGCATTGTGCATGGTGGTTTTTGCGATGCTGCGGGTGCCGGACCAGATGCTAGTTGTTGTGTGATGGTACTGATGGAGGTGTGCAAGGTTGGTGTGGGAGATGAAAGTTTGGTACCCTTGCGTTGGTGTTGAAGTTGATGAGACTGGATCTGCAAAGTACGTACCCGAAGTGTCGAAAAAAAAAAGGAGGTCTAAAATGCTAGTATGTTCTTGTATCGTGTGGTGTATTGTATTGGATGCTATAGAATGCTGATGGTGTTTCCGTGAATTAAGAGGGTTGAACTCATGATTTGGAGACCCCAGGGCGCTCCTATGCTATCTAGTTTGAGGGATGGCATTACACTCGCCTTCCTGAACAGGAATCCTCCCTCTCTTAAAATTTCATAAAAACCCCTGCACTGTCAGCTGGCATCATGGCTACAGGCCAAATAAGTTGTCTGGTTCGGCGTTGGTGCCCAGTCAGGCATGAGGGTTGTGTGAAGGATAGAGACTGGTTACGGAACAAGTCTGGTTTGGTTGAAAATGATGCGCGGCTTACTTGACGCTGAACAAAGTGTCTAGTCTGATTACGTGGGGCTTTGCAGTCCGTATAATAATCCAGCCGCCCGCCGTCGCCAAGTTTTGCATCTCTCACTTGCTTCATATCTCAGGTAGTCTAGTTCTTGACCGGGGGCACCACCCTGACCGCATGAAGCTATTTACCTATATACGAATATATAAGTGTATACTGTAGATGGATTGAACACATCCTGCGCCATTACATGCTATAAAAGGGCAGCAGACGGCACAATTGTAGTCTCCCCAGAGTTGAAACAATCCCCAGCTGTTGCTGACTTCTTCCAACACGCCATCGACATTTACCATTTACTGGTCTCTGTACATCAACATGACCCATTCTTCTGGACCAGCGGATCGCGGCATCAGCGTCTCAGACGGGTTTGCTTCGATCACTCCTACACCAATTGCTATCAAGCAATAGGGAGCTGATTCCAGATGCGTTTCCCGAGCTGTGGCAGAAAGGTCGGGTTACGCCTACCAAGGGGCGCGTACAGCTATCTCTCGAGTTGCCAACAAAGGATTTACTATCGTCGTTCCAGAACTTGATGAATACTGGCTGCCCAACAGGAAGGTTTGCCTTTTTTTGGATGGTTTGGACGAGTTTGACGGGGGTCACCTAACCATGATCAATTTCCTCAAGCATCTGGACATTGGTCAGCATGGACACTCCATCAGGATGTGTCTATCTTTTCGTCCGTGGTCTGTCTTTGAGAACGCATTCGGACACGCTGTCCCGCACATGAAGCTCCGAGATCTTACCTATGTCGATATGCTCAACTACACTGCAGACAAGCCGCTGGAAAACATGCCCATGAGACGATTGCTGAACAAGCGCCCTGCGTTGCGGGCGGCCATTGTCGACGATGCCGTTCAGTGCGCCGACGGAGTGATTCTCTGGGAGAGGCTGGCCGTAAATGAAATGATTGCCGGATGGAGACCCGACTCCGGTGCAGATGGCTTAGTGTCCATCCTAGAGCAACTTCCGGCTAATCTCGACGACCTCTTTGCCAAGCTGCTCTTTGAAGACCGCGCCCAGTCTGAACTGGCGGAAGCCGCCGTGATTTCCGAGCTCATTCGCGCTTGTAAGAGACGGCTCGGCCAATTCGCTGCGGCTGACAGTTTGGGAACTTGCTTTCTCTCTATGGGAAGAGGACGACCCAGCTGGCAGCGACGACAGCATGGCAAGTTGAGCAGGCAGAAGACCAGTTCGTATGCGATCGCTGCGACGCAGCAATCCGGCAGATTACGTACCGATTCGCTCGTCTGCTAGCCCTGCGTCGCCCTACCCGACAAGGAAACATGAGAGCGCCTCGCTTTGCAGACGACAACACGCGGGATGCCAGAGTCGAGGCTGCTCAGAGAGTGACTTGTATTCACCGCACAGTCCGCGACTGGCTCATGGAGACACCGGGGATTCAGGACCGGCTAGTTTCGCAGTCGCCTCGGGATTTCGATGCTCACCTGCGTCTGCTGCGGTCGTACGCCTTCCGGCTCAAGAGACGGCTGGAAGGAATCGAGCATCACCGCAGGCTGGACGAGTGGCGGCCAGACATCGCCCTCGCGCTGACACACGCCCGGCACATCGCCAACGATCCAAGCGGCCTGCAGCGGCCCTTTGTCAATGAGCTCGACGAGACATTGAGCTGGCACTGGCTCTGCAAGCCCCAGGACCCGTACGACCAATGGGCCAGAAACGCCTTTGGCGCGTACGAGGTCCGCATGAAGGCCTCGCCGATGTGGCAGCCACCAAGTTCGGCCTTGCGCGCTACGTCTCCGAAGAGGTTGCCGCTCGCGACAAGGCAGAAGAAGGCCAGGGAGCATCGAACGGACAGCAAGAGTGGCAGCGAGACAACGCCACGCCCCTGTTGGCGTACGCAACCGAGTTTACATGCTCTCGCATCGAGACCATCTTTCCGCTTTCCGACCCGGTGCTCGTCGAGTTCCTCCTCCGAAACAGGAGGCGCATGGGCCGAATCACGAGTACGCCGACTTTGTTACCCGCACGCCAAGAACGCCGTGGTTGGCACTGCTGCGTCACTCGCGCGATGCTCGTCGTCGAGGATTCATAGCGTACTATGACGTCGATGCCGATGGGACTGCTCGGTGGGCGGACATTGTTCGTCTGTTCCTGGAGGCTGGAGAGGCGGACCCTCAGGCGGTCATCATGGCCGATGGGTGGGATTCAGAAAGTCACGGCCCTGGGCGTGCTGGAGTTGTTGGACGAGACGTATGGCGCTGTTGAGTTGGCAGAGCTAAAGGAACTCCTGGTCGGCAAGCAACAAGGCAAAGGGAAACAACCTCAGAACGCGCTACGGTCCAAGAATATTTGAAAGAGAAAAAAAGGCCTTTGCCATTTTATCTCGTATCCATGCATCTTGATTAATTCCAAACAGTTACTGCCAGATTTTGAAACAAGTTACCATGCTAATAGCCGTCCTTTCTACTGACCTCATTCGTCAACTTTTTTCCCAGACTAAATCTTTCCAAATTGTCCTCTAGAATCGCCAAAAACCTCTTGGCGTACGCCGTTGTCCCTCCACTTACATGGGGCGTGATGATCAAATTCTTGGCCTTCCACAACTTGTGCCCGTCGGGCAAGGGCTCTGGATCCGTGACATCAATGGCCGCACCGCGAATGACGCCCCCCTCGAGAGCTTCAATGAAAGCATCCGTGTTTATCATCTGCCCTCTTGAAATGTTAGACACGAATGCCTTCCTTTTACCAAGTATGTTGAACTCTTCGTGCGATATGAGACCGGCAGTGCTTTTGGTGAGTGGCGCTGACAGAACCAGCAGGTCCAAATCAGAGTCCAGGAAGTCATGGAGCTCTTTTTTGGAACTGCCCGAGAACCATTTGCTCGGAAAGATGCCCTCGGGGTCGCCCAGTCCCGGGGGTGTGTAGGTCTCGTCGCGGCGAGATTCTGGCGTTTTGCGAGGATGCAGAGTGTATGCATGTACGTCCATGCCCATGGCTTTGCAGATGCGGGCTACTTGTCGTCCGATGCTGCCATATCCCAGGATGCCTCTGAATGTTTTTATTCTCCCGTCAGTTCCCCATGATGGGCGCAGAAGGGGGTGAGGGCACTCACACACGCTGTCCCACGGTGTCATCTGGGTCACTGAGCCTCCGCCATTGAGCATTGTGTTGCAACTCCAGATATTGGGGCACTAGTTGGTTGCGCCGTGTGAGTTAAGTAAACCGGTCCTCATGGATACAAGACAAACATCGGTCTCAAGCTCACACTTCTTCTTATGTGCTAAGAATGTCCCAATCACCCACTCCGATATCTGGGGTCTGATCACGACACATCAGCGTACACCTCCCAGGGCCCGAGTACGGCGTTGCTTACCCATGCACGCCATTCGCTGTGCAAAACGGGATATCACTATTCTTGAATGCCGGAGCGTTCAAGACATAATCTGCGCCCGCACTCAGCACCTGCACAAATTGCAGCTCGGGAGCCTGCTCCAGCGTCGGGAAACAGGTCCCGGTGACCAAGAGGGTGACGTCCTTTTTGTCCTCCTCTGAGATGTCGTCCCAGTTGCTCTCGCCAAAGGGAGCCCTGTGAAGGGCGACGGATAGACCTGGAAATCGAGTAAGCAGATTGTCAAGAAAGTCCTTGGGGAATGGCCAGGGCGTGATGGCGAGCAGTTTGTGGCCGTTGAGGGTTGAGTTGGTATTCAGTTGAATTAGAGTCATATTGGGGGGTTGTACAAAGACAATGAAAAGCCGGGGATTTGAGACCGGAACCAACGACAGCTCACAAGAGAGTTTGTAAGTAATTGAAGCTTGACGGGGACGAAGTCTGCAACTTGAAACTCCTTTGCACGAGGCGGAGTAAGTTGTTTAATAATGGCTTCACTTCCCATTTGAAGTTAGTACGAGTTGGCAACACTCGCCCCACATATAACACCATTGCAACTCGAAAATACATTCAGTCTTTGCCAATCGTTTTCTGGTTCGGTGAACATTTCATCGTGCTACACAACCTTGGCCGCCATGCAGTGCAGCCGACGGGATTCGTCGACGAGCCGAAAGGGCTACAGATGCATCGCTTCAAATTCATGGAAACGAACCTATACCTATGAGCAGCGTATCATCTATAGCCGTTGTATAGAGCCACCTCGTTTCGCAAGTTCTGCTACAATGAGCGGACCAAGTTGCACACGGCAGATGCGTCTCGTGTGTCTCAGGAGCCTTGTTGCACAGTGTCCCCATTCCTGGCCATAACCAAATCCTCCCACAGGCTGGTTGGCCCGACCCTGCTATTTACAATTCTCATCTTCGTTGCTCAATGCTCACATTCCCTGGCTTCTCAGTGTAAATGCAGTCCTCCTCGTGGAGCAAGCGCCAGGCTGCATTGGAACCGAGGTATGCAAAGTTCTCCGCCGCCCTGGTGTCAAAGGGCTGCGGGGAAGCTTGACGCCTCATTTGCTCAAGACAGAAATCCAAATGTCGAATTGGTTCCATATCTTGGCATGAGTGGCCTATACATAACCCCCATGGTTGAGTACTAAGTTATTGTTTGAGACAATATTCCGCATGGGTCAACCTGGATTCCCCGATAACGGCCTCAGAAGTTGACCTGACGTTTGTTCTGTGTAACGATCGCTTAAATCGGGCTCCGACCGCAAGCCTGAAATTATTCATTGAGAGCTTCGTCCGTCATCCTCAATAACAGTGCCGCCCCAGCACTGCCAGACTTAGTGTGCCGTTGAGCTTTGACGAGTCACCATGGTCCGCATGCAGGTCCGAGGCGATTCGCGGCCGTCTGCTCAGTCGTCACCATATGTTGGGGGCAGGAAGGGTGACAAATACCGGTTCACAGTCCTCGCAGACGGCGTGCTGAGATATGAATGGGCCCCGGATGGCAAGTTTGAAGACCGCCCGTCGGCATTCGCTGTTCACAGAGAGCCTCAGGGCGTGCTTTACTACCAGGTGCGAGAGTCGGATGCTTGGCTGGAAGTCATCACTGCTCGGTTTCACATGACGTACAATAAGCAGGAATTCACACCGTCTGGCTTCTTCGCCGTCGTCTCTGGATACACAGACCATACCTGGCGCTATGGAGAGCCAGGGCAGAATCTCGGAGGCACCTGCAGGACACTAGATGGAGCCGACGGCCGAATTGCCGTCGACCCTGGGGTGGCGTCTCGTCATGGGTTCGCTAGCATCGACGATTCTGACACAATGCTCTTCACCGAGGATGGCTTCGTGGCCCCGCGGCGAGCTGGATTCGGTCGTGTAGACGGCTACCTCTTCTGTTACGGCCGGGACTATCGGGAAGCAGTAAGGGCTCTTTACAAGATATCTGGCTCGCAACCGCTCCTACCACGATGGACACTTGGAAACTGGTGGAGCCGATACTACGAATACACTGCCGAGTCCTATTTGGAACTCGTCGACATGTTCAAGAGTATTCGTGTTCCACTCGCAGTCGGCATAATAGACATGGACTGGCATCTAGTCAAAGATCCCGTCGTTGCTGCCGCCGGCGTGACGGGATGGACAGGATACACCTGGAATAAGAGCCTGTTTCCCAATCCAAAGGCATTCGTCGAGGCGCTTCACGACCGGAAGCTCAAGACTTCTCTTAATGAGCATCCGGCGGAAGGCGTCGCCAACTACGAGGACATGTATGCGGCCATGGCCAAAGCCCTTAATTTTGACACGTCCAACAAGGAAACGATTCCGTTCGATTGCACAGACCCGGCATTCCTCACGGCATATTTCGACATTCTAATCAAGCATCTGGAAGACGACGGCCCTGACTTCTGGTGGATCGATTGGCAGCAGGGACCGTATTCTCGAGTTCCAGGCCTCGATCCGTTGTGGGTTCTGAACCACTTTCACTTCCTACACAATAAGCGACTTCAGGCGGAGAGAAAGCCCAGCCAAGGGGGCGGCAGTCGACCCATTATATTTTCGAGGTATGCCGGCCCCGGAAGTCAGCGATATCCCATCGGATTTTCAGGCGATACCATCGTCTCATGGGACTCGCTGGCCTTCCAGCCCGAGTTCACAGCAACGGCGAGCAACATCGGTTACGGCTGGTGGAGTCATGATATTGGTGGCCACATGCTGGGGGTTAGAGACGACGACCTCACGTCGCGCTGGGTGCAACTTGGCGTCTTGTCTCCCATCATGAGACTACACTCTACAAAGACACGATGGGTATGCAAGGAGCCGTGGAAGCTGCCTGCTGGCTCTGGTCAAGGTCCTCGAGATGTTTTAACCAAGTTCATGCGCTTGCGGCATCGGCTGGTCCCTTACTTGCATACCATGAACGCTCGTGCTGCAGAGGAGGGTTCTCCATTGGTTCAACCCATGTACTGGGAGTATCCGGATAGAGATGAGGCATACAAGGTGCCCAACCAGTATTACTTTGGTACAGAAATGATTGTTGCGCCAATTACATCGCCACAGAATGCGGCTACCAAAACCGGCAAAGTCAAGGCATGGCTGCCTCCGGGCCGATATATTGACTTCTTCACGGGTGTTGTGTATGACGGTGACAGGTTCTTGTGGCTGAATCGGACCCTGGACAACGCACCTGTATTGTTAAAGCAGGGTGCAATTGTACCGCTCGACGCAAACCTGGAGCCCGGAAATGGGTGCGATAACCCTGATGGCTTTGAAGTTGTGGTCGTCATCGGAGCTGATGGCAAGTTCGAACTTCTGGAAGAAGATGAAGACGACAATCACAACAATGCCTCGACTGATAAACCAGTCGCTTGGCGCAAGACGCCCATTTCATTCACCCAATCCACAGGAACAATTACAATCCATCCATCCGGGGAGGGCAAGGCACCGAAAGCTCGAGATTGGAGCATTCGACTGCTGGGATATAACCCCGCCCAGTCTCCAGAGGTACGCGTAAATCAAGCAGTTGTCAAAACGAGCATGTCGCAAGAAGGCGGCGGGCTGGGATTGCTGATCAAAGTGGGCAAGATTCCTCCCGGCGGGAGCGCGCTTATCAAGTTTGGGCCCGAGGTGAAACTGTCCATCAATGACCCTATGGCATTAGCCGACCCGGTTGTGTTTGCTGCTCAAATTGCATACAACACCAAGAAGGCTATCGATGGTATTTTGAGTCGTAAGGGCGTGAGTGCTGCGGTGCGTGCGTCGGAGGTTGATGCGACCGACATGGATCCCGACCTGAGACTCGTGTTGAAGGAATTCCTATTGGCAGATAGTCGGGTGTGAAGAGAGATTCGAGGAAGTCACTGGTCTGGTTGCTT